TTGAGGCTGAGGGGGTAGCACTCACCCCTACCTTGTCTGTTCTGGGAGGCGCATCACCCCCTGAAGTGGTGCGAGGCTTCTGTGTCTTACATGGGAACCGTGAGTGTGATACAGGCCGACACAGACGGCAGGGCTAAGCCAGGAGTTGGAGCTGGCTCCTGCCTGTGTGCCTGCCCTGCTACCTTCCCAGCTCCCTGGTGGCCTGTGAACCTTAGACGGCAGGAGAGTGGGAGCCCCGACAACAGGGACCAGGAGATGTCTGCAGTCAGGGGAAATGGCCATGTGGGTCAGTGGTCCAGGTCCCTGCTGCCCACAGGCCCAGCTTTGTGGATGTACCTGTGGCCTCAGCAGCACAGTAGGAGTCGTGGACACTGTCACAGCACCAGAGGCCTTGAGAGCCCTATGCCTATCAGCTCTGGGTACTCAGCTGTAGGTATAAATGGGGAGGGGTCCAGAGACGGTCTGGAACAGGATGCCAAGGTCTCAGAGTTTGTGTCCATCTTTACCCTGGCTAGACAGCTTTGCCAAGGACAGCTGCACGCGGGACACTGCCCACTGCCACTTGCTCAAGTCCTTCAGGAACTTTCCTTGACCCCACAGCTCTGGACTCCCCTGAGCCCTGTTTCCAACCATGAGCTAATCCTCTATAGAGAAGCCACACTGTGTCCGGCCCACAGGGTACAGTGGCGCTCCAGTGGTCAAAATCTGCTGGGGGTGGGCGCTGCAGGACAGGTCCAGTCTAGCCAGCCGCAGATCCCACATGGACCAAAGGAAAATGGAGGTATCGGAACAGTGGGCCTGTGGAAGCCGTCAGAGAAAGGACTGAATTCTACAAGGAAGGGGAGGAGCCCAGAGGGCCCAGTGGAGGCAGAGGCACACCTCAGCTACCTGCCTGGAATGGGCACCGTGGCTCCTCCCCCCTGCCCCCACCTGCCCCATCCTAGCAGGGTTCAGACCCTGCAGGTCTGCCCTCCACTTCCATTTCACAGGCTCTACCAGTGGGCAGCTGACTCTGCCCAGGCCTCATGGCCCCCATGCTGGCCCTGACTTGACACTCAGCCTTGCTCTCCTATGGATCAGGAAATCATGCCCCACACTCCCCACATAGTCCCAGCAAACCTGAGCGTTCTGCACACACCTGGCTTCAACCTTGTGGGCCCAGCCCCTGCCCAGAGCATTTTCTTCCATGAGTCACGTGTCCCTTTCTAAAGGCAGCCTGCCCCTCCCTCTCGTGGGCTTTGACTGGACAGAACAAAAACAGAAAGACACCTGAGTGACCAGGCCAGGTAGCCATGTGGGTAGGGCCAGGCCAAAGGCACCAGAGGAGGGTGGGTGGAAGCCACGTCTCACCCATAGCCTGTGCAGGCTCACACTGGACAGGAAGACAGCCTGCTGCCGCCCAGGGTCTGTCCTGAGCTGGATAAATCTCGTTACCCTTAAACAGGAGTGCTGGAGGGTGGGTCTCACTCCTGCTTTCTAGACGGCTGGCTGATAGCTATGGCCTAAGCCACAGGATCCAGGGCAGAGGCAGGAAGGCTGCTCTGGAAGTTTCTGTAGGCCTTCCAGGAACACAGCTGACCACACCTTGACCTGTGCAGTGAGGGGTCATGGCCTTAACTCTGGAGGTGGCTGGCTTAGGTCATGGCTTCCTGGCCTGATCTTGGGCCTGTGGGCTTTGCTGGTGCTCCTGGTTGGAAAACCTCCTCTTCCCAGGCCTGGGCCAGAGCTTGGGAGTGTTGGCTATACATGCCTAACACCCCCTTCCCTAGCCACTGCCCAGTCCTCCTGCCTCATGGCCTTCTGTATGAGTCCACCCCAAGGGACCAGGGTCTCTGGGCTAGGTCGCCACTGAGCAGAAATGGCACCACCCTGTGGCCCGAGCACCTGTAGGTGTGTCTACACATGTGCTGCGTGCTTGCCCAGGGCTCCTTCCTCTCAGGTCCAGTAGGACCCCTCCTGCACTTAGACTTCAGGATCATGAGGGCAAGGAAGAGCTACAGCTGACCACAGACATGGCATCGTGACCCGGACCAGCCAGGTCCATATGTCTCTGAGTAACTGAGGGCTGGAAGGTGACTTTGCTGGCCTGGGCCGCAGAGGACAGTGGGAGCAATGTACTGTAGCTTGAACTCTACCCACCGAGGGCTCCAGTGGGACTGTGAGCCCTGGATCCTGCTTGCCTCGGGCCACCAGAAGCACTCTCTCTGTCCACCCTTCCTCCCTTCTTCCTTTCCTTTTCCTCCCTCCCCTCACGGGTGGGCACCCATGGGACCTGTTAACCTTCAGCTTCTTTGGGGAGAAGAGCTAGCTGGGCGGTGAGTCCCAGCGATTGGCCCGTCTTCATCTCCCCAGCACGGGGATTACAAGCCTGCCACCCCCCAGGTGTTTTATGAGTTCTGGGAATTGAACTCAGGTCTTCATGCTCCCATAGCAAGCTTTTTACTAGTTGAGCTATACCTCCCCACCCCCCAAGAGTTTTAACCAGTAATAAGAGCATGCCAAGGAGTTCTAGGAACCGCCAGTGCTATGTGGAGAATGTGCTTTGCGCAGCTAAGAGGTGGCCACCCCAGAGGACACTCCCTCCTGAGTGGAATGTGACAAAACTCAGCAATGCAGAGATGGAGAGGGTCCATGCACAGTCCCCTCTGCGGGGTTGGGCTTGGCATTTGCCAGGATCACGAAGGGGCCTGATAAAACCAGGTGGATGAAGGTCGTGGGAACAAGACTGAGGGGCTCAGAGTCAGGAGACCTGGAGACTGGACAGGCATTGTATACCGAGTGACCTGGCGGCCTTTGAAATGCAAGTTCCCACCTAGTGTGTGACAGTGGCCTTTGGAGAGCAGGGCAGGGCAAGAGGAAGGGGCAGCAAAGTCAGGGTTTCAGGAGAGCTCTGGACAGCTGAAGCCCCTGATGGGTCTGAGCCACCCCCACACCCCGCTAAAGCAGGTTCGTGGACTCTGCAGGGCCACTGCTGGCCTGCAGGTATCAGCCATAGACAGGTCTCTGGTGCACATCTGAATGGTGCTGGGTGTCTTTCTATCAGCAAGGCAGTCAATAGATTTCACTGATGTATCTGATTGTGGGGTGAATGGGAAGAAAGTGGGAACTAGGCTTGACTGACAGAAAGATTTAGGGAGGGAAGAAGGGAAAATGAGAGGGTAGGTGGATGATGGGTAAGTGGATGGCTATATGGATGGATGGATGATGATGGATGATAGATGAATGGATGGATGGATGGACGGATGGATGGGTAGGTAGATGGATGGATGGATAGGTGGATGGATGGACAGATGGATGGACGGATGGATGGGTAAGTGGATGGATGGATGGGTAGGTGGATGGATGGATGGATGGATGGACAGGTGGATGGGTAAGTGGATGGATGGACGGGTAGGTGGATGGATGGATGGATGGATGATGGGTGGATGGATGATGGATGGATGGATGGATGATGGATGGGTGGATGGATGATGGGTGGATGATGGGTGGATGGATGGATGGATGATGGATGGATGGGTGGATGGATGGATGGACGGATGGATGATGGATGGGTGGATGGATGGATGGATGATGGGTGGATGATGGGTGGATGGGTGGATGATGGGTGGATGGATGATGGATTAATGGATGGATGGATGGATGGATGATGGATGGATGATGGGTGGATGGATGGATGATGGATGGATGGATGATGGATGGATGGATGGATGGGTGAATGGATGGATGGAGGGGTGGATGGGTAGGTAGGTGAGTGGGTGGATGGATGAGTGAATGGATGGATAGATGAGTGGATGGGTGGGTGATGGGTGGGTGAACAGATGTGTGATGTATCAGTAAATGATTGGTAGTGGCAGGGGCAAATGGACAGTTTTAGATCCAAAAAAAAGACCTTTCCCATTAGGCATGGACATATAGGTGGGTGGTGTAGGGAAGGAGAGAGGGTTCATTGGGTGCATAGATAAGAGAATAGCAGGATAGATGGAAAGAAGGAAGACAAGACAGTGTGTGTAGATGAAGGAACAATGGAACCACTGCCTGATGGGTCCCCTAGTCATTGGCACAGCAGATGGCCTGGTTGGTCAGCTGAGGGAGTTGTCAACCCTGCCCCAGGCCTGTGACACTCCACCTCTGGAGGGAGAGAAGCTCTGAGTGGGGCAGACCAGCTATTACCACCCTTTGTCATCTTGTCATGATGCAAGGGATGCCCCTTGCTCCCTGCAGATCCTGAAGGTCCCCTTGTCTTGACTCCCCTGTACCTGGTACACTCTGGGTGTCTAAGAAAGCTTGACTAAGTGAGCAAGCAGGGACCACAGATGAATTTGGGGCTGTGGATAATACCCTCTGGGACCATCGACACCCCAAGTGTGCTGCCCGCTCCTGAAACCCCACCCAATCCAGCAGAAAAGGCCACATGTGTTTGGGGCCAGGACCATGGGAGGGAGGCTCAGGTCACACCCCTAGAAACCTGGGTAAGGTGGAAAGCTGGTCAGTAGACCACTGAAGAACTTATTCTCTGGCAAAGCAGACAGACGCAGGATGTCAGAGAATCCATCCTCCAGCACCCGCCAGCAGGGCCTCAGTTATAAGACAGACTAAGATTGGGTGGGTTTTGTGTAGTCTACAGGGAAAGGCCTTGGAGGTGTGGCTCATCAGCTGTTCCCTGCTGCCAGGCCCCTATAGCTCCTCCTGTCTGTTCCCAGTAGGAAGGTGACGTATCATGGACTGGGTGCTGAGCACACCTGAAACTTCTCACCTTGCTTAGAACTTTGGGTCCAGGGACAGACACAGGACCAGAGACAGACAATCAGGCAGGGCCAGGGATCTGTCTTGTGGTCCCAGTGGCATCAGCAGGCCCAGGGATACCTTGATCCCCTATGAGCTGCTTCCTGGCACTCTGGGACTAATGGGTCTGTCTTCTCTGGGCCTCTCTGTGGACAGGAACACTACCCCTGGCCTCAGAAGAGGCCTGACCATACATTTTCTACCTTTCTTCCTTCCAGAAGCCCCCCAGCACCCACGCCATGAAGGAGGAGGCCTTTCTCCGGCGTCGCTTCTCGCTGTGCCCCCCGGCCTCCACACCACAGAAGACCGATCCCCGGAAACTTCCACGGAACTTGCTTCTTGGCTGTGAGAATGAGCTCAGCCCGGTCAGCCCAGGTTGGTACAGGCCGTGGGCAGCTGGGGTCCGCCGGCTTTGCAGCTATGTGAACTCTGCAAGTGTCGCTCCTCTCCAATGTCCTCATACCAGTCAGGGCAACTCCCCAACCCTGTGGACCATGGATTCGGTGGACAAAGGGATCGGCAACACATTTAACTACCAAGTAGGACAGCAAGGGACACCCACAGCCCAGCCTAAGGGTTGGCTTGTCTAACTCTGGGAGGTGGCAAGGGACCAATCACTCAAACACTGATTCTGGAGACTCAAAGGCCCAATACCAGCCCTGCTCTCCTGGCTGGGTGCCTGCAGGTCCGCTGCTGGGACTCAGTTTACTGGTCTGTAACACAGAGGCAGTATCAGTACTTATGCCCCCTTTCTGAGGGGTCCTGGGCTCTGGGAGGGGACAGTTCAAACCATGATGCTGTCCTGCCACTTGGTGAAGTTTTGCATACTGGAATGTGGGACCTACTGTGCTAATGTTCTCCCTGGTTGCTAGACCCATGGTTTCCATGCGTGTCCAGACCCATAGCCAAGTCTGTGCTGCCTTCTCTGCCTTGTGGGTGACTGTTGACCCCAGATGACCCAGCCCTTTCCTCCAGAGGTCCCTGAAAAGTGGGAGGTGGGGTGACACTGCTCTGGGGAACTCCAGATCTCCCCCCGTCCACCTCCCACTGCTCAATACAGGACAAGGTAGAGATACCCATCCCTGTCCACTGTGGCGGAGTGGACGGTCAAGATGGGAAGGGGGTTTGGAGTCATGCCATCCACAGTCTCAGCCAACAGAAGGGGAAACTGAGGCAGGCGTGGACTTTTGGACAGTCACATGGAGGCCAGAATGCCAGGAAGGTTGATAGCTTGGATATGACCCCTGTGCTTTCATTCACCTGTGCTGCAGGAAGAGGGAAGAGGAGGGAGGCGGGAGTGGGTCCCGGTGGGGAGGAGAGAGAGAGGAGGAGTGGGTCCCGGTGGGGAGGAGGGAGAGAGGAGGAGTGGGTCCCAGTGGTGGGGGGGTGGCACGTCCCAGTTAGCGGTCAGTTTCTGGGGATTTGGTCCTCAGAGCAGCTGACCTGGGCGGTGCAGGAACTGGGTGGGGTCAGGCTCTCTTGGCAGTGTGGAGGGGACAGGTCCCAGGGGCAGGGGCAGGGGCAGGGCATGAACAGGGGTATGGACAGGATGTGGATGGTGGCTCGGAGCAGAACCAGCACTGGCCTGTTGGCACAGATGTGGCACCTCTGCCTTCTTGGATGCTCCGACCACAAGTTTTCCCCACCCAAGATACAGCTCCCCACAGGTGGCCCCTGATGGGTATGGGTCCTGAGAACCAGATAAGGGCCCACAAGTGGAGAGCTGCTGTCCCTCTGAGGCCTGAGTCAGGGCCTCAGATTGTGTGGGCAGAGAGCAGGAGTCACATGAGGGGCGATCATCATGCCAGACCGGGACATGTGACCTTTGAGTGGTGGATGCTTTCTGACCTGTGGGCAGAACCACTTCCTCAGGTCACTGCCCTGACTTTTCCGGAGAAAATGTCCCCAGTGCCCAGCTCCACCCTGCTCCTCCCGGAGCTCCTGGGAGTCGGCCTGCAGAGCCCCTGTCTCCCAGCGGGTTCTGAGGTTCCACTTCTTCATACCCATCCCTGGCCTGTGGCGTTAGCAGGAAGAGCTGTACTCCATTTCTTACGGTCTCCGAGGCAGCGGCCACATCACCTCACATCACATTAGGTGGCTGGCTTCAGGCTTTAGGCTGCCCCTGGCACCATCCCCTTCCTTCAGGCTTCAGGGCACAGACACCAAGCATCCTTCTTGCCTCTTTTGCTAACCTGCGGCAAGATCAGAGTGCTGTACTCTGAACCCAGTGGGCCTCTGAGCCTGGGTGCTACTCTTCTTTGGAGAACCAAGGGCCCAAGTCAGACACCCCATTGGCCCAGCTGCCCTAGTTTCTGCGGCTCCTCCCTCTGCTTCCTCCCTGGTTGTGAGGGCCTGGCCAGAGCCCCCAGTCCTCCTGCTGAAGTTCGCTCCGCCTCTCAGGGCCACGCCACACTGGTGGCTTCCTGCCCCTCCCAGGCAGCCATCAGGGAACCCCTGCCTCTCTGAGGAGCCCTGCCTGCCCACTGTCTTACAGGAAGGGACATGGATTCCAATGGCCAGTCACCACCCAGAGATGAAGAACCCCTGACCCCAGGCTCTGCCACGAAGGTGCCACCGGTAAGAGGCCAGCCGTGGGAGGACCAGGGGCAGGGAGCACGGCTCAAGGAACAGCAGGGTGCCGGCTAAGCCTGTGGTTCCCCACCCCCCGCCCAGGTCCAGGAATAGCTGCAGAGCCCAGACTGCACCACTCTGGAGTGGGATCAGTCACAGAGCTTTTTAGCTGTTTTATTAAAGCTTGGCGCAGTGCAGAGGACCTGAGAAAGGATGTGGGCCTCTGGGGAGCGGAAAGTACCCATGAAAGGGGCTCGCCTGCTTAGGGAGACCCTCTGGGTTTCGACGCCTGCGCCATCTCTCCCTCCATGCCTTCACCACCTCTTGGTGGTTCCCACTTCTGCTGTAGTGGTCAGAGCTGCAGTGGACTCCCATGTACTTGTGTGAGGGCCATAGCCCTCTGAGAATGTGCTAAGGTAATTCTATGGTAACAGACTTCTAAAACATTCTGTGTTTAATCTTTGAGGAACCACCAAATTCCTGTGCACCTGTGAGCACCAGTAGGACACAGGGTCTCACTTCCTCCATCCTCTGTTTCTGACGTGCCGTAGCCCTCCTGACTGGTATCGAGTTGCGGTTGGGTTTCTGTGTTGACTCAGATCTGGGTGGCATCATGTATTTACCTGTCATCTCTGTGTCCCGGATGTCTGCTAGCTCCTTCACCTGTCTTTGGATTGGATCATTTGTCTTTTTTGTTGTTGAGTTACAAGTGTTCTTTATATATTCTGAATCCTTGACCTTTCTCAGACGTGTGATTTGTAAATATCTTCTCTCATTCGGAGGTTGTTCCAAATTACAATTTGTTTTATTTGACTTTTTGCGTGTGTGTGTGTGTGTATGTGTGTGTGTGTGTGTATGTGTGTGTATGTGTGTGTGTGTATGTGTGTGTATGTGTGTGTGTATCTGAGCGTGTGTGCCACCTGCAGGCCGAGCGTGTGTGCCACCTGCAGGCTGAGCGTGTGTGCCACCTGCAGGCCGAGCGTGTGTGCCACCTGCAGGCTGAGCGTGTGTGCCACCTGCAGGCCGAGCGTGTGTGCCACCTGCAGGCTGAGCGTGTGTGCCACCTGCAGGCCGAGCGTGTGTGCCACCTGCAGGCTGAGCGTGTGTGCCACCTGCAGGCCGAGCGTGTGTGCCACCTGCAGGCTGAGCGTGTGTGCCACCTGCAGGCCGAGCGTGTGTGCCACCTGCAGGCTGAGCGTGTGTGCCACCTGCAGGCCGAGCGTGTGTGCCACCTGCAGGCTGAGCGTGTGTGCCACCTGCAGGCCGAGCGTGTGTGCCACCTGCAGGCTGAGCGTGTGTGCCACCTGCAGGCCGAGCGTGTGTGCCACCTGCAGGCTGAGCGTGTGTGCCACCTGCAGGCCGAGCGTGTGTGCCACCTGCAGGCTGAGCGTGTGTGCCACCTGCAGGCCGAGCGTGTGTGCCACCTGCAGGCTGAGCGTGTGTGCCACCTGCAGGCCGAGCGTGTGTGCCACCTGCAGGCTGAGCGTGTGTGCCACCTGCAGGCCGAGCGTGTGTGCCACCTGCAGGCTGAGCGTGTGTGCCACCTGCAGGCCGAGCGTGTGTGCCACCTGCAGGCTGAGCGTGTGTGCCACCTGCAGGCCGAGCGTGTGTGCCACCTGCAGGCTGAGCGTGTGTGCCACCTGCAGGCCGAGCGTGTGTGCCACCTGCAGGCTGAGCGTGTGTGCCACCTGCAGGCCGAGCGTGTGTGCCACCTGCAGGCTGAGCGTGTGTGCCACCTGCAGGCCGAGCGTGTGTGCCACCTGCAGGCTGAGCGTGTGTGCCACCTGCAGGCCGAGCGTGTGTGCCACCTGCAGGCTGAGCGTGTGTGCCACCTGCAGGCCGAGCGTGTGTGCCACCTGCAGGCCGAGCGTGTGTGCCACCTGCAGGCCGAGCGTGTGTGCCACCTGCAGGCCGAGCGTGTGTGCCACCTGCAGGCCGAGCGTGTGTGCCACCTGCAGGCCGAGCGTGTGTGCCACCTGCAGGCCGAGCGTGTGTGCCACCTGCAGGCCGAGCGTGTGTGCCACCTGCAGGCCGAGCGTGTGTGCCACCTGCAGGCCGAGCGTGTGTGCCACCTGCAGGCCGAGCGTGTGTGCCACCTGCAGGCCGAGCGTGTGTGCCACCTGCAGGCCGAGCGTGTGTGCCACCTGCAGGCCGAGCGTGTGTGCCACCTGCAGGCCGGTCAGGGCTGTCCTCCTCCTGGACAGGCCTTTCATGGACAGAGGAAGGTCAGTGTCTGCCCAGCCACAGAGAGGGATGCACAGGCTGGGCTGCAGCCCACAGAGTCCCCACAGGGCCTGTCCCTGGAGGCCAGCCACCTGTCCAAAGTCCAACATGGGCGTCATCACGCATCCTCAGCTCAAAGACTGCTCTGAGCAGAGCCCCGGGCGTCAGGGCTGTCCTCCTCCTGGACAGGCCTTTCATGGACAGAGGAAGGTCAGTGTCTGCCCAGCCACAGAGAGGGATGCACAGGCTGGGCTGCAGCCCACAGAGTCCCCACAGGGCCTGTCCCTGGAGGCCAGCCACCTGTCCAAAGTCCAACATGGGCGTCATCACGCATCCTCAGCTCAAAGACTGCTCTGAGCAGAGCCCCGGGCACCCCTTGTGTCCCTTTCTTCCTGTGATCTGGAGTGTTCTTATGTGGCTAAGAGGGTACGTCCCTGGACTGCTGGGGTCCAACCCCAGCCTGGCTCCTTAGTTGTTGTGTTACCTTGGCAGGTTTATGAGCCTTTCTGTGCACTGGTCCCCGTCTCCACAGGACGTGGGTAGTGGCGGCCTGAGTCCTTAGGATTAAGGTGTACAGGGGTGCCTGTAAGAACAAAACCTTGCACGCAGTACTCCCCCCATCCCCACCCTGGCCCCGGGGCCCTGAGTGCCCGTACCTGTGGATGATCATCCCTCTGAAAGCCAAGCACAAGCCTTGCTTCCTCAGCCCAGTGCCTGAGGCCAAGCCCCACCTTCAGCACTGTGCAGCCTGCGTCCTTCAAACGTCACAGCCTCAGCAGGCTTGGGGAGCTGCCACACCTCTCCCTTCCTAGATTTCCTAGTCCACAGAGGGGGCTGTCGTAGGACCCACCTCACTCATGGCTGACAGCAAGCTCACTGAAAGGACACAGTTGTCCCTGCCTCATACTCTTGCTTCCTGCAGCATCCGTCATGGAAAGCTCAGAAATAAACCACTCGTAAGTTTTCGCTTGTACATAGCTGATGAAGTCTCCCTCCATCTGGCTCCATCCTGTCCAGGATGTGAATCCGCCTCTGTCTAGAGTATCCAAGCTGTGTATGCTGCCTGTCCACTGGTCACCTAGCAATGGTTGAGAGAGAGAGACAGAGACAGAGACAGAAAGGTGGAGAGCCAGAGAGATAAAGACAGAGAGAGACCAAGAGATAAAGATAGAGACACAGAGGAACAGAGAGAGACAGAGACAGAGAGTTGGAGAGTCAGAGAGATAGAGACAGAGAGAGACAGAGAGACAGATAGGGAGACCACACACGACTTCAATGGCAGCCTCATATCATATTTTATTAATTATGTTATATTACTGCTTACCTCTTAAAGTTTCTGATTTACAAATTAAAAAAATTATCATACACACATGTGCGTGGGGAAGCAGTTAGCTGTCAGTGCTATATGTGGTGTTAAGTGTCCACTGGGGGTCTTGGGCCACAGCCTGTACAGACAAATCACCTAGCCAGGACCTGGACAGGGGAATCCAGCCAGAACAGGGGGTAGGGCACCCAGGCAGTCAGTATCTCAGGCTGCCCTGTGCTGGTCTCTGCAGCAGGTGCCCCGTGCCACCATCCCAGCAGGAAGGCAGCCATGGACAACAGAAATGAATGGCCTTTCTGTGAATCAACTATTATTTATGGACACTGAAATTTGAATTTATAATTCCATTTCTGTAAGAGAGAGAGGATTTATGTAGCTCACAGATTATAGTCCGACGTGGTGGGGAAGCCGCTGGTCACGTTTCATTTGTAATCGAGAGTAGAGAGGAGTAATCAATGTGTGTGTGCTAGTGCTCGGCTCGCTCTCTCCTTTCCGTCCAGCCCAGCCCCATAAAATGGCACTGCCTACATTCAGGCTGGGTCTTCCCAACCCAGTTAACCCAGTTAAGAAAATCCCCCACATGGACTGGAGGGATGGCTGCTCTTGCAGAGAACCTGGGTTCGATTCCCAGCACCCACATGGCAGCTAACAACCATCTGTGACTCCAGTTCCAAGGGATCTAGCACCATCTTCTGACCTCCGTGGGCACTGCACGACACGGGTGCTGGGATTCAAAGCCGGGTCCTCTGCAAGAACAGCCAGTGTTCTTAACCGATGAGCTATCTCTCCAGCCCCCCACAGTATAATTTTCACAGCAGGAAATATCATTCATTAAACTTGCTCCATACAGGACAGGTAGTGAGAGATGACTCAGTGGTTAAGAGCACCAGCACCCACCTGGTGGCTAACAGTCATTCATAATTCAGTTCCAGAGGACCCAGTGCCCTCTTCTGCCCTCCATGGACACTGCAGGACACAGGTGCACTTATGCAGGCCATACACTCATACACATAAACCAAACATAAATAGTTATTTTTTAATTGCAAGAGAGTGGGTGTGGTGGCTCACAGGCGGCTCTCTGGTCTACATGGTGAATCCAGGCCAGCTGGGGCTACAGGGCGACTCAAAAGGACAAAAAAAAAGGAGGAGGGGAGGGGGAGGGGGAGG